GCCGCGTTCGAACTAACGAACGAACGAACGACGTCTGGAGGGAAGGAGACCACTTTCTACCGCCGACTCCCGCGGATATTTAACCGCGCGCGGTGTGGCGAGTACCACTACGAACAGTGCAGCCCCAGCCGAAGGACATTGTTGCTCCCGCCCGGCAGAAGAGCCACAGCCGCCTCTTCGCAAGCGCGAGGATTCCACCATGAAGAGCCTGTGCTTGTGCTTCGTGATCGTAGTGGGCCTCTTGGCCGGGATAAGCCCAGGTTAGTGGCCCTGGCGTGGCGGGCGGGGGAATGGTCCGGACGTGGTCTGTGCGCGGCGGCGCCCAAGGAAGGATAATCCAATGAGCGTGCTCTCGAAGCCCTCTGGAGACTCGCTCGGTGGCGAGCCCACGGCCCGGGACTGCTTTAGCCCTTCCTTGGCGAGCCTGCCCAGTCGCGCGCCAAGTCACGGGCTCGTGTGTGACACGCGTGAACTCGGCAGGCGCGCCGGCGTGTCTGCTAGGCACGCCACAGTCGGGAGGGACGGGAAGCTTCGTGCAGTGAGAAACATGTACTCGGGATCAGCGGCCAACAGTTGCCTTCATAAATCATTGGGAGTAGATCCGCCGACTTGTGTGGCTAACTTAAAACTACGGCAAGAAGGGCGCCTGGTTGGGTTTATAGATAATTGCCAGTTATGTTCAAGTTCTCCGTAATTGCAAAGTCCGTTGTTGCGCTTAAGGGTCGTTCAAAATTCAAAAGGGAACTACCATAGACTATATTAATCAGATCTACTCTTTCTGGTAAGCAAAAGGAGCTTAATTAAGTAAAATATTTTTAATGAACAGAACGAGTTCAATTCCAATAGTGTTTTTTCTGCTTGATTCACATCATAAGAACAACTAAACATTTCTCTGAATCATCAGGAAGAACATAATCTGAATCTCGAGATTTTATGAACCATTATTTTTTGAATAGAAAACGTTCATTTGAACTGGCAATGTTTTGAACTAATAATCAATCACAATAATATGTATTCTGTTTACGTTAAATATTGGCCCCTAGAAACCCTTAATATATAAACGGTCGAAAAAACTGAGAGAATTCTAAAATCTCTTATAGAAAAAGAGTGAATAATTAATGGCTAAATAATGAGGGCAAATGTATGTTATAAAAGTGAGGGATGAAACATCAATGAGTAAATTTAAAATTGTGTAAATCAAAATATCCGTAAAACAAGGTCACAAAGAAAAAAAAGTCGCGAATAAAATTATTTTGGAACATTAAATAATTGTAATACGTTTTCCTCGCCTACAGTAGTCGAATATTGTTCTAGAAATATTGCTTTACAAAAAAATACGTTATAATTTCAACAGGAATATGATCCAAGCATTGTTATTAAGTCAATACAAATTTGATCTGAGAAGATTTAAATCGTTATTGCTCTAAAACGAAAAATATTGAAATGGAAAAATGTAAATTTATTAGATGACAAAAATTGTATACAACACATACGGGGGTAATAAATATCTATATTTAGTAGCCAAAACGTCAAGAAAGTAAACCAACTTTACATTTTCTCATTAGATACAGGAAAACTGTATGAAAAGGCCGCTCGAGGTATGATATAGATTCAAAAAACTTTACATTATTAGTTATAGGCTTTCAAATTGTTAGATACTACGCTCAAAGAAAAGCAACATCATTTTTCTGTTAGTAATGAACAAAACCGAAATTCGGTAGCATTGAATTTTCTAAATCCATCAGCTGTCTCGATGAAATAGTCAACTGGCCACCCAACCATTTTCAGAACCCGTTGCAGGATCTTTGGAACGCGTTAGAGGCGACAAGCACGGAGGAAAGAGGAAACAGCGATAATAGCTTTTACCGTTTCCAAGATATAACGAGCTCTCATCTGCAAAGCCTTTGCCGGTATCAGTGGATGTGATAATATGTCATTTAACGCCGGTGCGTCACGGTATAGCGAGAGCTGTTTCTGAGGGCTAACTTTTTCTTTGTTGACAAAAGAGAACTGGTTAAATAGAACACGAGTGATATTTTACTCTATGCGTGGCGGGGCACGCTTTTAAATAATTGGGTCAAGTCAGCTTATTATTAAAAAAATTTCCACTTTGATAGAGCCAATGTGACTCTGCGTCTCGTTTCCAAGTCAACGGCCAGGATGCGGCCGTCATTACTAACATCACTAACAAGTCCAGCCAATTCAAAATTTCCAAAGCATTTTACGTCAAATTCAGAGACGATTTAACTCGACTCCAAAACAAATTATTTAGTAGGTCATTTATTACAACTCATCGATGGTACGAAAGATGACACATCTTAAACTTTTATTAGGAAGATTTTATCCTGACCGGACTTGTTTCCTTCGCGGCAAAACCCCAATGTGATTCTCACTATTTTCTCCATCTTGTAAACTAAACCGAATTTATTGCATTAAAAATTCCAAACATTTAATTTAACTAGACAATAACAAATTTTGAGATGTGTCCCTTTTCTTGTGCATTTACAAATTGTTAAACATATTACGCGGCTAGCCGAAGATATATAAGATACTTCATTGTCTGTGCTCTAAAATGCTTGCCTATGGGCTTATAACATTAATCCTAGAAGATGCCTCAATCGCAACAAAGAAGTGGAAAGGACACCTCATTCCTGGGATGCAATAGTGGCAAAACGCAAAAAAATCGAAATTGAGATAATGAGTTTGACGTTTTCACCTTTTATTGAAATGAATACTGTATTGTAAGATATGTTGCTGCAGAAAGATATATCAACCTGCATTCTGGAAAGTGAATTAACACAAAATTCATATTTTTTGAGTTGTGCCACTATTCCTGTCTAAGAGCGACCTCTTGTGGGTGGGGTGACTGAGAATTGATTCCGGGGCGTCAACTACTGTAATTAGTTCCTAACTGTAGTGCATGTTATACTCGGGAGTGTTCCTTCCTCGCTGAAATATGTGATCCACCGCTGATCAAAACGTCGACTCTTGGGTTATTTCCCTATCCAGATATCTCCCCCATTGCGACACCGCCCTAACTGCGAGATGTGAGCTAACATTTCGTCTCCCGACATGTGTGGTAGTGAAGTGAATGTGCGTGTGCGTGTGCGTGTAAAATGGTGGGAGGGGGCAAGGTTTGGGAAAAAAAGATTGTGCGTCCGAGAATTTGTCGAGTTCGATGCAAACGAAATCCTTCATATAGCAGCTGAAGTCGATCTAACTATGAAACTAGAGTCAAAACTTCAAACACTAGTATCTTCCGGTTGAGTAGACTATGAGGTTGCCGCTGAGGGCATGGCCATTACTACCTTCAATTCATATTTACTTTCTTGCTTCTAAACTTTGAGTAATTGATACCACCAGCCCTTTTCACTTTCTCGCTACCGCATAAGCAGTAGAGTAAAACTTGTGTAATACTGCGCGAAAAACGGCGAATTGTCTGCAGAAAAACTCTTATCACTGGACATTAGTAAGGAAAAAGTAGATAAATCGTGTTGCTAAATTTACAAAACATTCTCTAACACGTGGTGTAGCCAATCCATGTTTTGCTGGTCCTTGCCGAAAAATCGAATGACGGCAAAACCGTCCATTCTGTTTGTCTGTGAACAACCCTAGGGTCTAAACCGTTCAGCCGATTTTCTCCTAAATTGATATTCCCCAATTGATCTGGATGATGTAGCCGCCCCTTGAATGTAAAACCGATATTTTGATTTTAGGGGGTACTTTACATGAAGCCTTCAACAACCAATATGTTTTCAAAAAAATGATTCCATAGTTTTTTATTGAATTTTGTTATTGGATACTATAAATGACGTTTAAGAGACTGGTGTAGGTCTCCTTTTCGTAAAAAACTATGATTTTTCAAAAATTGCAGTCTTCCTCCAACTACGATTTTGAAGATAGAGATTTTTTTCTTTTAATGAAAACATGTGCCTTAAAGATAGATTTTGAAACAAGATCATGTACAATGTTTCGTAAATGTGAATACTTTCCGCGTAATTTTGCGTGAAGGCACGGGGGAGAAAGTACGTGCTGTTTTAGCGCCACTAGTTCCGCCGAAGCGCACTTGGTGGCAGTGCAAAGGAGCGCGGCGTCAGCTTGCGTCGGTGCGTGAGGCGCCGGCGTCAGCGCCGCAGCCCCGAGCAGCGCAGCCGCGCGCGTGTGCGTGTGCGTGATGCGTGCACGCACTCACGCACGCTCGCGTGGACGCCGCCTTCGCGCAGCGGCCCGCGCCGTTCGCCGTGCTCGAAGCACGTGCGTGCGATAGTGCGTGAGCGGTGAGGTGGGGTGGGGTGGGTTGGGGCTCGCCTCGGGCGAACGGGTGGAGCCTTCAGGCGAAGTCGTTTAGGCCTGTCGTTAGCCATTGTCACGGCTACCGCTATTGAAATTCCTGCCTCTTCTTCTATTCGTATTACTCTTTAATCTCACTTCACTACCTGCACATCAGTGTTGCTGAGCCAAACCGCTGCTACTACTTGTCTCGTTACCGCATTTGTGTTGTCCCCGTCGCTACCGCGCTAAAATTACTATCACCACCAACATCATTCTTTGCTATACTTGACTGTTATAGCCACTCTCATTATTTCTACTATCATTTCTGATACTATTTCTATTGCGACTATTAATATCAACAACACTCCTAACATTATCCCCTTTTCTGAGATCCGTACTTTCACTATCAATGCCACTACCACTACAAGTAGGTTCACAGACTGCCAAGAAAACTATTAATTCTATTACTCTCCTGGCATATCTTTCGCTCTCCTCCGCCTCTACTGCCACATTATGACAGACACGAGATTCTTGGAGGTCATGCGATATGTCTGCAGACTACGTAGGTCTTTAAAGCTACAATGTTAATAGTTCAGGTCTGTGTGGATGTCTCGCCAATTGTGCCTCTTTCACCAATAGAATTTAATACCTTTGTTCGATATTTCCCATTCATTTGTAATGTCGAGACAGACAGAATTCAATAAAATGTTCTATCAGAAAATTGTTGAATCCCGAGAAATTAAATTTCAGTACAATAATAATAATAATAATAATAATAATAATAATTATTATTATTATTATTATTATTATTATTATTATTATTATTATAAAACAAATATAAAAATTCATGGTTTAATAAAAAATTGATTTGTGACAATGGCATATTTTTATGAAGTTGATCACGGTTCTTAATGTCTTACAGCATAACGAACACAAGTATTCCCGAAAATAGTGCAAATTTTAGAGAGAAAATTACAGTTTGAATTCTCTAAGCAGTATTTTATTTTATCCTGCATCATAACCCATTGTGATGATAGTTATGTGAAAGAAATTATAACATCCCGAAAAATTGACTAGTTCCTTTATGCATTTTAAAAGTTTCCGAACTTGACTGACGTTGATAATTTTTACCTGCTTTCGTATTTATAGAAATATCGCAAGGAATGACAGGGTACAACAACGAGGAATTTTCATAAATTCAACGTTTTCATTTTTTTCATTAATTATGAGTAGACCTTGTTTCCTGAAATATAAACACGGCCGCAATTTGCTTATTTAAATTATTTCCAATTAGCTTCTATAAGATGGATACTAACTCCGGTAGAGGCGAAGACCATTGGCTCTCTTTGAATCCGTCCGTTCTCTTTTATTGCGTCCAATGTATTCCCGCTCCTGATTTAACAAAGCATGACTCAATTTGCGAAAGTATTTTACTACCAAACGAAATTTCTTTCGCGGCAAATTAAAACACGAGTGAAGCAAAAGTATGTGTGAGTAATTCATATTATATGCGAATAAAAACCCATCTAGACTCGTAATTTTGTTTTTGCTTACGTCTCACGCGTGCTGTTTCAGCTACCGTGATGACCTACCGCGGTGTCAAAAATTGAGCTCTTTTGTGTGCCGAAAGCTTAAGCAATTTCCGAACAGAAATTGCGGGGATACTACTCTTTATTATCTTTCCACTGCTTCCGGCAATCGAAACATTAAATTCATATTAAATTTATTTCTTTTGATCCGTTATGTATCTTCATATTGCGTTTGTCGTAACAACGCCATGTTCTAACATCCATGAACCTTAATAGCGGGTGATGCTTAACATGCGAAACGGAGCGTGACATTTGAAGAACGAGTGCTCGACCAACTAATGCGATAATACGTCTGCAGATCGGGCTAGTCAAATACGAAATCGTATAATATACGAGTGCAAAAACCGACTTCTTCCCACAACAAAAACAAAAACCTTCCGTTTCGATCCTTCTCAAATCTGCCCCCTTTTTTCTTAGACAACGCTGTATTTCTCAATTCTGTGTGCGCAGCAATTACTCAGAGAAATGTTTTACTCGCTCCATATTTGATTGTGTTTTTGTTGATAATGACTATAATACGAAGTAACCCAACACATTCCAACACACTCCAATTCGTTTCGCAATCGAAAATAAGTGGTAATTTTGCTTGACTTATTCGGTGTAATACATTAGTGTACAAAATTCGGCTATATTCGTGATGCAAGTATTTTGTAGCTCTTTGAAATTTTTAAAGATCCTTTTTAACACGCCGTGCGCGTGTAACGTGCTGGTTTTCAGATTTCAAAATAGCTTTATTTATTCTATCTTTTTTTATTCACTGTGCGGAACATTACGAAGAGTACGCGAAACATTGCAAAGCATGTGCGAAATATCTTTTTCACACGACGCGTTAAAAACTACACGCAACACTTGTGCGAACTACGGATGTAAAACAAATAAAAGTCCTTTAGAATCTGAATAAGGTTTTTAATTTGTTTACAAGCCATTTTATTATTAAACATAAGTCCACACGGAGTTCTTTTATAATATCAAAACATATGAATAGCATACAGACTCCAGTACTCTCGACGAAATTCGCCTGACAATTAGCATCCACAAAAAAATTTAGACTACGCACTCTATCTAGTAACAGCAAAACCTAACATTTAAGTTGGTTACGTAGGTAAAAAAGCCCGTATCTTTTGGTGCCATGTACTGGGCATTTGTTACCAGGTTGCCGAGGTCATATTATAAATAAATAATTTCTTCTCTCACGAACGGTTAGAAAACTTGAGATATACAGGCGTCCTGTCCCGTTTTAAGTACGCTATAAACGCCAACTGGCCTTGGGCTAGAGTTAGTGTTACATGCTTTCCACTGAACAATCAAAACACCAAATTGGCAATATCCACTTTCTTTAACTTTCTACTAACATCAAAGTTCGAACAGTTACAATTTTTTTTTTTATTTTAATGCATGTTGTATTTCCTTTTAATCATCAATGTTCTAATTTGGATTAAATTCATTTACCAGTGAAGTGGGAAAATCACTGGGGACATATTTAACAAATTATAGAGCGTATATTTATGTAACAAAAAGTCATCAATCAAGCAAGACATTATTCACGTGTCCCTCTTATGGTTTAATTCAGCAATACATATCCATGGCACGATTTGCGCAGAAGTGAAAGTGAACGCTGTGATACGAGTTTGGGAATTTATATTTGATGAAAGTGTTATTGAATAAATTGAAAAATAATGCGACCCTGTTCTAGAAAGTTTGCCTATCTTTTCGCTGTTTGAAAGTTAACAGGATTTTAAAATATTATTTGAATATGGTTACTCATGTTTATGCAGAAGCAAATTATTTTCTGTTGTGAAAGTATTAAACTCCTGCCTTTATGAACCAAATCATTATTGTTTTTCTCCTACATATGTCTGAAGTCTCATTTCAGTTTCAGCAAATCAATGAACTTCCATCCTCATTTTCTTAGAAATTCTTAGTATCACTGATGGATAATAAGGAGAAAATGAATAAGAATAAATGACAAATAATTGTCTTAACATTTCTCAAATTATCCGAAATCTGATAATGACATTGCATAAACGAAAACAATGCATGTCCGAATCATTTACTCTCTGTAGATGAAAAATTTCAGAAAACTCTCGAGTTATTGCCTTATTGCCGTATTTTATTATAGATTTATATGAGGACAGGTGCCCCCTGACAAGAAAGAACGTAATCTTTTGAGATAAACCATCACTTTCTGGAAAATACTACCGTAAATGGAAGTGACTGCGCAATACTTTAACGCGGAATACAGTCTTGGGCGAAATGTGCCATTCCCGTCAATTCGCGGGTCTCCGTACCTGGATGCCATGGGATCTTTCCTTCTCCGGCGAGATGCCGCGCAGGGACGGAGGACCGTCATAGCAGCTGAGCTGCTGCTCCCGCGTTCACACACAGCGCCTTTCCCTTCACCTGCGTTGGAATGTTACCGCAAACAACCTAGGTTGCGGGATCCACATTAATCGACGGGGCGATTTCAGCATCTTTCACTGTAATTGCTTTGAATCAATAGAGTAAAATTACAAACAATATTGGGTTTGGGGTCATGCTCTGCTAGTCGGCTGCATTTAAGGAATTGTATATTTAATCAGGCAAACAGAGAAATAAACAAATGTATATCTTTCAAGTATATATGATATTTGATGTTGGTTCTTTTAAAATTTCAGAAACAGATTTGATAGTTTTGTGATTTTTTTTATACGACATGTTCATGTTTATTGACGTTATCAAAGTGCTCTTTTTTATTAATAACACCCAGCACATTTTTCTGATATCAGTCCACTTGATGAGAGTATAACATGAACGCATCGATTATGTAGCTCTGGTCTGAACGATGTTAGAATATTCAGACGACGAATCTTTGAAACATAAGAACTGCCTACATTTTTTCGACGACTTACGTAACAAATAACTTATAATGCGGGATGCAAAAGTTTGTACATAAAATTCGAGACATCCAGTAAAAATATGGAGAGGTGACAACCAATCAGCAGCTTTTATTACAAGGGAGCGCAAATTTTCAGTTCTAGCTAAAAACGCTCATTGCCACATGTATTCGTACTGCAACTTGATATGTATATGAGTTACGACATAGATCCCAGAAGTCAAGAAACCGTGCACACATTACACTTATTTTCATAGTACGTCTCAGGGGTTTGTACAGCTTTTAAAAGTACATGAATAAGTAGACCGGTCTTGATAGTCAAGAACGCTAAATCTGAAGGGCCGCAGCTGCCTCGCTCCTGAAAGGTGTAGGGTTCGAACTTTGTCCCCGGAATGGATGTTTGTGTGTGTCCGTGTGCGAGTTCCACAAGCAATGTTAATTACGTTCCCATAGTTTCTAAACCAATGTAAATTACAGCGGTCGCTGTATGACCTCCGTCGTTAAAAAGCGACCTTCAATAAGTAAAAATACATCAGTGAATAAATAAAGAAACAATGCACAGCTCGCATTTCTCATGTTACATCCCATATTTCCCCATGTTTTGTGTCGTTACATGAATAATCCCTACAAGTGGCGTGTGCGGGCTCTGTTGCAGCGGCGGAGGGCGCGCAGAAGTTGGCGGAGCGGTTCGCGTGGCGCGCGCTGGACTGGGCCTACCCCACGGAGGGCGCCCGCCAACAGGCGCTGCGCTCCGGGGACTTCATCCCGGAGAACAACCTGCCCGTCGGCATCGAGGTGTGGGGCGACAAGCTGTTCGTCACAGTGCCCCGCTGGCGTCAAGGTAAGTCACTCGAAGGCGCTCCTCTAACATCTTCACCCGATGGCGGATTCAGAAATTATTCATGTGGTTTAGAAGTAGGCGCGAATTTGGATGGTCTAAAACATCGCTAAAATGATCAATAAAATGCTCTTAAAAGGCTTTTAAAATGCCTTAAAAGCAAAGGAAATGACGTCGAAATTTCAACAAAACCAGTTTAGATTAACAATCAAGATGTTGGATATGTTACTGCTTTAATAGAGGATTATCCTTTTCGCTCAAGCGAACTCAGCTTGCAAACTTTTGGTTTGGGCTGTTCTTTACCAGGAAATCTGTCTTTAGTTACTACGAGTTAGACCGAACCGCCAATGGCGCTGAGCAGCAACACAGGAACCGTAGGTTACATACAACGGCTGACATCCAATTTCTGAGCGAAGAAATCGATTAAGCCATTCAGGAATACTGTGGAGAAAGTTAGTTTCATCTCGTAAATATCAATTAACAAACGTACAATTAAAATGATCTTAAAATCGATTAAATCGGCACAAAATTCATTGAAAATGACGAAAAAGGTAAAAAGTGACTTATTGGCCGAAATTGACGAAAAACGCAAAAATAAATGTCACATAAAATGGATCATTTCCTTTTGTCATAACCTAAAATTAATGTCTATACTAAAAGTTATTATCCATACTTAAAGTTGTCTGTACTAAAAGATATTGTCTGCACTAAAAGTTGTTAAAGTAAAAAAAAAATGACATTTCATTAAATACGCCCCCAAACATGAGCTTAACCCCTCAGGTGCCTCATGAACAGCGTGCGAACTTTTCGTGGTGCGTTTTCGTGGTGCGTCAGAGGAAAAATAGAGCCGTAGCTTTCTGATACAATCGTCTCAGTTTCTATTGCCGTGTGACGAAAGATGTAGCTCAAGTAGGCCAAGTACGTTAGATACGGTGAAGGGAATCGGTCATGCTCGCCACATGTCTGCCTTACTCTAGGCGTGGATAATAAATAAAAACAGAGTTAAGGCCTGGGAACACCGATAGCTGGCAAACGTCGAATTAATCCGTTCCTGAAATTTCAAATACATTCATACATTTACATAGTTATAAGCTCAGAGTTTGTCCTTTCAATATTTATTCAAAATGTTGCTTCTATTCCAATCAGTATTTGACAGTTCAGATTTAAATATGATTTATTTTTAATAAATGCATATGCATTTTGGTATCGTATATGACCCCAGCTATGTTAAATTCCCACAAATTATGCCAAAGTTATTTTCCACCAAAACACTGGAATGTTTGTCGAAACTTTTCGAGTAACGATAACGATGAGGTCATATAGAAGTGATTACTGTACATCGTTGGTTGTTAACTCAAATGTTTCTGTGGGGAAGATGGTAAACATTTAACCTCTAATCAATATATTAATAATGCCAACATAATGATATAACAAACATATGTTAATACAACATTTAGCTCAATGGAATAATTTCTGCAAATCTATATTAATGTATCTCCAGAAAATGTAATTTCTATCGCAATGTTATGTCACTTACACTTTTCACTTCTTTAATGTTATTCATTATTTCTACGTAACCTCGAAATGTTTTACGTTCAAATACATTTATTTTCTCTCTAACATGGACAATGAAGGTGGCTTCGTCATCCCGGCAACCATAAAATGCACTTGCAAATGTACGAATGTAATGCTTGCATACATGAACCCGTATAGTTTCATTGCTTAAATAACTAGACGTTTCAATATCATAACTGCCATGCCGTCGACCAAATTGCCTTGTGAATTGGCGTTGGTGAACGTTGTAGAAGGAATGTACATAATTTATCAAAAACATACTTATTTTAATTCTGAATATCCTATAGGGAAAAACACAGCCTCTTTTCACTCCTCCTTGGAGCAACCCATGGCATGCTTAGAAATCATTTGGAATAAATTAAGAACATTCCATACAGTTTAATTCCAACATAAGATTTACTTATTCTATCCTACTACTACAATTCTCTTTTATGGTACTCAAATACGAAATAGTAAGGGCGTTCATGTAAGCACTACACGACTCCTTCCTTGCATTCGTGAGGAAAATCGAAAGGAATGCAATCGGGCTATCTCTTCTTGGGAAGGTTTCTGAAAGGTTTACGATAAGTTGTTAACTGTCTGCAATCGGTATACTTTTTGCCATCGAGGCTATTTAAAAGTAACTCGCCACTCGCCAGTTTTTCCTGAATAAAGCACTACGAGTATTCCAAACTAGTTTGACTGCAGCATGTGAGAGGTAGAATGCAAGTCTAAGCAGGTCTTGTTCATACATCGATAAAATATCCGCGGCGGAGACCTGTTTCTTACGACATGCACTGGCCTACAAAGTTCGCAAACCACAGGAAACCGGTATTATTAAGTATAATATGGGAACATCACCTTCCTCTTCCTCCTTTATTAAAGTCCATACTTCCTAAACCCCAAATGATATCGTGAATGACATTAAAAACAATTACTTAATGCGAGGAACATTTTTAATTTATAAAATTAAATATTTCTAATCGAATTGAAAAGCATATTGAACTGATCAATAATAATAATAATAATAATAATAATAATAATAATAATAATAATTCACATTGTATACTTATTTCATCATTTCATTTTATTGTATTGAGTACGTTTTGTTGCAAGAAAGTAGGTAATAACAAGGTATTGAGTCATAGTTCTCAACACAAGATGAGAAAGGGTACATTTCGTAGATGTGTACACACGTCATATGATTCTAATTCGTAAAAGAATATTACTTTATACCTGTACCTTAATACATTTTTCATCATTATGTGACCATTGCAATTTACACAAGGTAATTTACACAATTTACAAAGTCCAGTTAATCCACACAAAAATAACGGGCTGAGTTTAGCTAATGTCCCAGGGTTCGAACCCCAACGGCGGCTGTGTTTCAATATTCCCACGTCGAGTTCAACCGCTGCAGCGCGCTGTCTAGAGAAGAGTTCTAGCGGTCGGCTGATCTGATCGGTTGTTTGCCGTGGATTCGCCGATCACGGTGATGGCCGGAAAAGAACCGTAAGAAACGGACAGGGATCGCGCGCGATCATCCCTTCCTCCTCCTTGTCCTATCCTATTCTATCCTGTTACACACTCACATGCACTACGCCGCCGCACATGCGGGGAGTCCCGTCGGGAGCTTTAACTTTGTCCCGTATGGGGCGGTGCGCTTCTTGCGGAAGATTCCTGGAGAGGGACACCCCCGCAAGTCGATGTGTAGTTCACCGCCGGATCGCACCATCCAGCCGGCAAGGAACACCGTCATCTCCATGGATACAACTTTTTCTACACTAACGCTGATGTAACTGTAATGGTGAATAGTTAATCTCCATGGCAGTGAACGTACTCGTAAACATCAACAATACAATGGCTGTTCATTTGACGCGGAACTCAAAAGATGCCGAAGCTGGATGGCCGAGGTGCTTAAGAGCGTTTTCCGACTCAGCGCTTCGGTCCGAAGAGTCATGGGTTCTAGTACCACCATGAGCATGGTTGTTTGTCTCTTCTCTCTCATGAATGTGTTGTGGCGAAGGGCATCGCGTTCTGCTGACCCCAGATAGGAGGAGCCCGCAAATGTGTTTGTTTCTAGCGTATGGTCCCGTCGTGACGTAAACGGTAACCGGCTGTCTGCTAGAAAAAGCACTAGCAACAACTCAAAAGATCATGCACTTGATATCTACATGTCCATTTTCCACAGTTTCTAATGAACAGCATGGAAATGTGATTTACTAAATGTTTAATGTTTAGAGCGATATGTTTTAAATCATCAAGAAAGCCTTCTAACATGTCATTCAGGTGTATGACAGCAAAACAGACAAGGAAAACGCAATTCTGAAACATTTTTCCTTGTCAAAAAAACAACACCGAATTCTTATGCTTTCTAAAACGTCCAATTACTTTTTGTATTCGATCGTAACTTCCGCATGCTACGTTTTCGGTTGTTTGTTTTCGCGCAGCTTTTCTCCTGCTGTCAGATTTTATTGCGTGAAGGAATAGACTGCGTCACTTTCACTGGTGCGTTTTGAGTAGCTCCAGCCTACCAGAAGAACAACGGCCTCCTCATACGGCTATCTAATGATCTCTGCCGCGATCCTTTCTCTGAAAGGTCATCGATCAGAAAGGGAAAAGACCACCTACTGTAATGGGGTAGTTATTTTAGAAGAAGGAACAAATGTATATCAACAATGGAAAATTTTACATTTCGAAAGATTCATAATTAAACTCATTTCACGTGTGTAATTATTGTAAAATTACAAACATAATTCGCATTGGTAAACACTTATTGGTGAACTAAAGTGGTCCTTTCATAGGAACAATATAAAATAGAATTAAAAAATCTTCGGTAGAAATCAAATTAGCAATAAACAACCCGTTTAATTCACCTAAAATATCGGGCAAAAGGTACAGATTTATTCCATCTGTAATGGAAACATAACCAGGCAATGTTTCGATTGATTCTTAGAAAGAAAAAAGAAGGTTATTCATTATAGTTCATTAAAAAGACAACAGGAGTGTATGCATCTTGTTTTTGAATCGAAAGTAAACAGAAATAATTTTTGTTTTAAAATAGTTTAATTGTGGCGAAAGGTAATAGATGGCCTTGAACTAATTTGAGGAAATCTATAAAGTAATTCAATTATCTGGGCTGATAGGCCGTGGTCTTATGAAAATTCACCTCACATAGAGAGAAAACATTATTCTGACAATAATTTATTATTATTATTATTATTATTATTATTATTATTATTAAATTAGTGTTTTGCATTAATATATGAAAATTGACAACAGACGTGCGGCAAAGCTGTGTGTTGAGTTCCATGCTCTTATTGGCAACGCGCTTCACATAACACCGGGCTACCCGTGGGCTGCGAATTACCATGCCGGCTAGGAGCGGCGGCGGTCGCCGAGTTTCGTAGCTCGTTAATGTACTCTGCCATTACTGACCTCCAGGGGTG